GCGCTGCTCACCGTCTCCTGTGACGTAGTATCCTGGAAACTTCTTGAAGTAGGTGCTTTCAAACCTCTCGTGGTTTCCGTAAACGGTGCGCATCACGCCGGGCCACGGCTGCTTGAACACCTGTGTGAGAGGGCGGAGACAAACGGCAGGTGTGACGCGCTCGCAGGAAGGACGGAGACAAATAAAGGCTCATGTACTCAAGGCTGACCAGGTATCCTTCGCTGGGCCCCTCCAGCTCCTCCCCAGACTCGTTCAGGATGGCCGGCACCACGCCGAAGAACGGGAGCGTCTGTGGGGACACGCGGGGGAGGGGCGAACGACAGCAACAAAATGAAAAAGAAAAAATATTTTTAAAAAGACAATAAATGGTGAGAAAACCTGACTCGTTTCTGTGTTTAATGTCTTTTTACTTCTCATTTAACTTCCTTCACTCGTGGACCATTTATCAGCACCTTTCCTCACTTCCTTTCATGAATTTATCTTTAAATGTTGTTGTGGTTTTCAGATTTACACGTTTCCTTTGTCTTGTTTGTGGTGACAGAAGCATAAACGATGCGTTTGGTCTCACCTGGACCCAAACGCATCGTCAGCACTGTGTTAGATGTAAAGTTTGAACCTTTTAAACCCAAAGTCTGCCAGAGCTCATCTTCATGTCCACAGTAACTACATGAACTGTGGAATAAACTACAAAAAAATAGAAAATCATTTCAGAGGTTTATCCCTCAAAACTGTAAATGCAAAAAGATTGCAAATATCCAAGCACGGGAAAGTTTTGAGCATCTTCATAGTTTCATTTTTGAGATGCACTAATTTTTATAAACTGCAGGAAAAACAAAATAAATATTATTGTGCACAATTTTCAAAAAAAACAGCATAAACCTGTTTTCTTTCGAGCCTCTCGGGAACTCGGGAGTCAAACATGACGTTCAAACACAGCAGGAAACCTCTGAAAGGCCCTGCAGGGGAAAAACTACGTTTCCCCCAAAAATGGCGTCACTTCTGGATCAGATCAGCAACGCTCGTCTGGATTATGATGATTTTGTTGTTGTCAGTGCTTTTACGAGATTTTTGCAAGAAGCCGTTTGTGGAGGGAAACTGAGCGGAGACTAGATGAGCAAGTACGACTCGTCCAGTTTCATATGCAAAGAAAATGATTGTGCTAGCAACGTGGTTGTAACTCTACTGGAGTCTAAAAACAGTTGTGCACAGTTAAGCGCTTAAAAGGGTTAAAAGCCTCGATCACGGTTTTATCTTATTTTCTTCATTTAACCTTTTAACGTTTCTCCAAACACACGTTTGAACCTAAACGTGTTTCCACATCATGTTCTTACTCACAGCAGATCCAGGCTTCATGGGCGTGGCCGCGGGCAGAGGAGTCAGAACATGTCCTCCCTGAAAACAGAAAACCGCTTTAATCTCAGGCAGCCGGCCAGCAGGGGGCAGCACAGCCACAGTCAAAGCTCAGCAGAGAAGCAGCAGGTGCACAAAGAAGCAGAAATGGAGACGATTCTAGATGAAGACGTTTGGAAGCGGCGTTGCTGAAACTGCAGGAAACCGTCACTCACCGTTTCCGTCTGCCAGAAGGTGTCGACTATCGGGCACCTCTTCTCCCCGACCACGTTGTAGTACCACTGCCAGGCCTCGGGGTTGATGGGCTCGCCGACCGTCCCCAGAACCTTCAGAGAGCTTCTCTTGTACCTGCAGACAAAGGCACAGGTGAGTTACC